TGCTAGAACGATCCAGGGGGTGGTAGTAACCTTGGGTGCATTGAATAAAATTAAGGTAGCATACGGAAGGAAGGAAAAAAATTTGGGGGCATTAAATAAAATTAAGGTAGCATAAGGAAGGAAGAAAATTTTGAAAAACGGTTCGTACGTTTCATCTGTTGTGTAACCGAGTTACGAGTCGTTACATTATTTTCCAAATAAACACATAAAATGCAAGCTATAACGGGTCAGTGGTCAAGTCCGCCAACAGGTCTTAACAAGCAAATGTTGGCAGGCAATCATGGTGTCACATTGTTGGGAAGTCCAGCATGCATCGGCAGGAATATGTGCACGTAATGACTTAAGATACAATACTGTATGGTTACATGACACAATATTGTGTCATCAGAATTTCAATGCAGGAAAAAACCGACAAATTTACAATAAATTATTAAATTTAAGAAGCATCATTTTTTAAAAAAAATTATTTTTTAAATGACGCAGTTTGTTTTTTTAACTATTAAAAGGGTTAAAGAAAGTAGATTTCCAGGGAGGAGCTAAGTGTTTTGTTTTTTTTTTTAAAAAAGAGGGTGGTAAGCCAAATAAGTTTGGGAACCTCTGCTCCAGAATCACAGGAAAAAATAGGAGATGTAAGTGAGTAGGATTATTAGATTTGGAACTGAGACAATAAACATCATGCAGCCTGACCCCTTCATTTTCCAGAAGAAAAAACTGAGATCCAGGGTGGTAACTTATTTGCCCAAGGTCAAGAGGTAGACATGAGGGTGAAGACATGCTGTTAACCTTCATGGGACCAAGTACCAAGCAATCAGGCAGCCAGCCAAAAGGAGTAAGGCTCAAACCTGTATCTCATTTTTATTCCATGCCACAAATTGACTTTCCAAGGACTTTTGTGTCTGCTGAAGGTAGGCCCTTGTGTTCTTTTAGCTGAAGAAACCAGAGAAGGTAGAAAGAAATGACCCAGTATGATGGAGGGATATTTTTGTTGACTGGTAAAAACCTAGTCGATTATATGGTACCCCACAGTTTCAGGCCTTTCATAAAACAGCCTGTATTCTGGATCACCTCTAGCTGGGCTGCCCTGCAGCTGCCCTTGTGAACAACCTCAGGATCTCTCATCTCATTGCCTGGACTCAGTTCTATACCCCTGGGTTGTGTCAAACTGCAGTTCTTGGAGCTGCTATTTGCCCTTCTTCATCATTAAGAGGAATGAGAGTTCAGGAGTCTGTTTCTTCCCTTTCCATATAGGAAACATGGACCGTCACCACTATGAAATGTTCACCAAGTTTGGTGATGATGGGTTCCTCATTCACCTGGATAATGCCAGAGGGTAAGAGATGTCCCTTCCATCTGGTCCCTTCTATCACCAAAAGAAAAATCCTCTTCTCTGCTCCACACCAAAATATACCCTCAAACAATTCTTAGAATTCCCTAAGTCCCACCAGAGAAAGGCCAATGCATTTGTGTGCTCTTCCCCGACACCCACCCTATGGGTTACCATTCACTAGAAGCTTTGCAACTTTACAGTAACTCCATAATCTAATAAACATATTTTTCTGGTATTAAAAATATTCCATTTATAAGAATATTTTAGAGTCTGTTTTGGTTCCTATATGGCAGCTTACCTTTACAATCCCTAAGGCTCAGGCTCAGAGACGGACTTTGCTCATCCCATTTACCCTTTCCTCACTCCCTTTTTTCTCATTCCCTTCTTTCTTCACAAGTTCTTTGGAGAAAGGAACAAGTATTGTCCCTCCAACCTGTGAAGTCTAATTTCCCCAAGAGGTGGGAGGTGGGTATGGGCTTCTAATTACTATTTTCATTGTAAAACTCTGTAAGTTAGTTAAACTCTCATAGATTTCTGTATTTCTCACTCCCTTGGTTTGTTTTTTTTTTCAATAACCAGATGGGAATTGCCTTTTAATTTCAGTGGGTACAGTTTCTGTTCAAGATTAGTCCCCAACAACTTGGTCATTTGGATATCCTGACTCATGTTTCAATCTTTTCTTGATAATAAAAGCAAGGACCAAGAAGTCACATAATTTGGTCACTGATTTTTTTCCCCTGGTGTGTCAATTTAGAAAAGGTGGGGGAGAAGAGGTGCAATGGATAGAGCACCGGCCCTAAAGCTTGGAGGACCTGAGTCCAAACCTGACCTCAGACCAAACACTTGACACTTACTAGCTGTGTGACCCTGAGCAAGTCACTTAACCTTGACTGCCTCTTAAAAAGAAAAAGCTGAGGGAAAAAAGGGTGGGAAGAGGTAAAATATTTCTATCATGATGTCATGTCCCCAGAAAATCCTAATTCACCCACAATATCTTCTCTTAGGTTCGGGCGACATTCCCATGACGAGCTCTCCATCCTCTCACCCCTCTCCCAGTGTTGCATGTAAGTTTTCTTTCATCCTCCAAGCAGTTAAGCACTGTAACAGGTGACCAGAAGGCCTCTGAAACCCAGAATTTATTTTTATGGATCTGGACAGAGCATAGAGCAAATGAACTCAGTGTCCCTTCCTGCCTTTCCCTTCTGTGACTGATCAGAAACACTTTATATCACTAGTAGTCACTTTTTGTAAAGTGCTTAGCACAGTGCCTAGCACACAGTAGGCACTACGTAAATGATGTTATTACTATAGTTAGTTCTTTAGAACAATCACCTACTTTAAGGACACCAAGAAAACTTTTAATGTCAACAAGTTCACTGCTTTTCCCAGCATTAAAAATCAGGTCAAAAGCATTGCTCTTTTAGTCCTAAACAACTGCCCTAAATTAAATTCTTCAAAAAGGTGATTGGAGTCAAATTAGAAGAAAGTTCTGACAGGTTTTGCCTGACCACTATTTCTTTGGATAATATCTACTTTGTATCCACAAAAAACCATCCTCCCTTCAGCTCCCTTCAGTTAAAAAAATTATTCATATACCTAGCAAAACTCCCTCATTTCCAGCTGACTTTTCAAATAAGTAATCAAAGTCCTTGATCAAGTTTATTTGCTAAGTTAAATCTTCATCCATCTTCATACCACTACCTCTACCCTCACTTTACTCTCCATCTTTCTGGATAGGCAGTTCCTATTTGTGGATCAGAGGGAAAATCAGGGCCAGGTAACTGAAATTCCAGCAAGCCCAGGAACCAAGGAATATACGCCCTTCAAAGATCCCTCCCTGCCCAGTATCTTGTGAATAGGAATAATGTAGGAGAAAATGTGTTCCTCCCCATGCCAGCAACCCAAGCTACTAGGAATAAGGAGGCTCATGGAGCTCAACCTTGGGAGTTTTAAGCTCCAATGGGCTATGTTGATTCGGTGTCCAGTGTCACTGTTTGGTATTAATATCATAAGACCCAGAAATGGGGGGGGGGCTACCAGGTTACCTAAGGAAGGGCAAAGCAGTACTTAATGGAAATGGAGGTCAGAGCTCCTGTGCCTATTAGTGGTAGGACTGGGCCTGTGAGTAGCCCCTGCATTTCCAGCCTCGGTAACATTGGGAGAACCAGTCTTTAAAAAACACATAAGATGCAAAAGCTGGACTCAACATTTCACCTACTCTACATCTCTTCCCATACTAAGTCACCTTGGAATGTTCCTGGGTACTAAAGCCCACTGTGAATTTGGTTTGAGTTTAGTAGTTGCTAACATTATAGCAACGGGGTAAGCACATACATACATTGTCTAGTACAGAAGTTCCTAACCTGGGGATCCATGAACTTCTAAAAAGTGTTTTAATCATTGCTTTTGATATAACTGGTTTCCTTTTAAGCACCTTATTCTGAGAAAAGGTAACATAAGCTTCAACAGACTGCCAAAGAGGTCCATGACATAAAAAAGGTTAAGAACTTTTGGTCTGGTATTTTTATCTGCAACATTCAAAAGACCAGGGATTTCTTTTAGGGCAAGAACAAAAAATTGGGCAAAGGTCCTGAAAATCTGGGTAAGCTTTACATTTGTCCTATCTTCTCCTTTTTCTTAGTTTTCACCAGAATGTGTCTTGGGAGAGGGGAGTCTCTAAGAGCATTTTTCAGGCAGATGAGCTAGTGTGAATACTGAAATTAAAGAAAAAAAACCTTTTGCTTGTTTGCCCCCTCACCCATAATTCCTTGTCATTTCAGGATAAAAAAGAAAACACTGTTGCACCTGCAGCTGCTGGCCCATCCAGACTACAGGCTGAGTGATGTGATGAGGGAGTCCCTTCAAGAAGACCAACTCTCTCCTGTCCTCACAGAGCCCCACCTTCTTGCCCTGGATAGGAGGCTACAAATCATCCTAAAGACAGTGGAAGGATGCATAGGGATTCACGGAGAGCAGAATGTTGTAGCCACTGAACCATCAGAACTTTTAGCCCCAAACTCTGACCAAGTAGATCTGGCAAGCTAGGGTCTGGAGGTAAAAGTGAAAACATCAAATTTAAGAAAAGGTCCCAGGAGACAGGCAGTGGACTAATTATCAGTTTCACCTATTGCTTCCATTGCTGGTCCATGCTGAGACATCACAGTCTCAGAAAAGCTGTCAGGAGCTCAAATGACTCCAAGACAACAACAAAAGCCTCCTGATCCTGAACTTCATTCTTTGAAGCAATACTTCTATGGCAAGCTGCTGCCCTGTTTTCCCTAGACAGCAGGAACTCGATAAAGCTCACAATAACGTCCCTTGGGCTAACATGGCATGAACCCAGGAGGAGAAATGGCTCTAAATCAGTTATCCTCATGTGGAGGTTTTGAGAGTTTTGACACTTGACTCCTGGGTAAGGGAATTAACTCAAAAAAGAGGCTTTGAATAAAAAGACAACAAATTAAGTGTACACTTACTCCCTCAGATTCTAGTTTTGATTCTGGCAATGATAAAAAAAAATTATGCTTTGCCCAACTTTAATAAAAATTCATAGGATACCGGAGGCAGGCTAAAATAAAAAGTTGGTGAAGTAGAGCCATCCAAGTATAGTATGACTTTAGGTTCTTTACCCTCCTTCCCACCATTAGAGCTCAATTGAAATACAGTGATACCATTTGCATTCCAAAGACACACTTTATCAGAAGCTTTGTTAGCAGAGGCAGAGATAACAACAGTTACAGAGAGCTTTAAAGTTTGCAAATAGCATCACATACATTTAACCTCACAACAACCCTGTGAGGTAGGTTTAAAATACAGTTAAGAATCTTTCTGGACGTCAGAAAAGGGAAAAGTACATTATTTTAGACAGTATTTAATGCTGAATATTCCAAAAGACAAAATATGTACGAGAGCCTTGGGATACAAGAAGGAAAGAAATGGAGCTAACTCAGGCACGAACAGCGAAAGGTTGAGTCTGATAGAAAAACAGTGGTGGATTATATGTTCCTTTGTTCCTAGCAGCTCCCAGTAGATTTTCATTAGCCATAGATGAGTTAGTCCCTAAAATTCTTCTCAGAGAGACTAACTGATCATGTCCCCCCCAACCACCCTAATGACCTAAACTGGGTTTATCTTCAGGGTGGGCCTGCAAGACAAATACACATACTGTGATTTCCTAAATACCTCTATACCCACTTTCTGAAGCCTGAAATTCTTTTAACAAGGGGTTAGTCTCATTCCAGAAATAAAGACTTAAAATGCAATTGCTTAAGTTGAAGTACCACACTGACATCTATCCTAAAGTGAAATCACTTGACAAATGAGACTAACAAATTCTTTTCCTGTTTTGACAGGCTATTAAGAAAGCATGTAGGATGATTCTAGATGCTTAAAGGGTTTTCCTATCTAGGCCCTGAAAGGCAGAGCTGAAAGAAGACTAAAGACAAACTTTTTTGAGGAATGTCACAACTTTTCTAGTGTGAGCCATTACCTTCAACTGTCAAAACAAGGTGTGTGAGGGGGTACTTTTTCCTTGCACACACAACTTAGGAGTCTGTCACAAGTCAATACTGCTTCATGCTATTCATCAAGGTTTCTTTTATTTTTACTCTAGCCATATTAATTTTAAAATAGCTTCATTCTGAGAATTTGAGATATTACTGTTCTGCACAAGGCTTCCTAGTTCATTAGCCATCATTCCTATTTTTATCTCATCTGCATGCTTTAGGAAACAGGACAATCAAAAGAAATACTAAACAGTAGGTACAGGAAAGGTCCAGTTTCAAGGGACAGAAGCTATTCTTCAGCTAAGGGGTCACAGTGCTAGAACCTCAGACTAGCACAGCCCTATTACAGCCTTAAAATGAGTCACTTAACTGCTACAAATAGACAAATATTCACAAATTTGGCTAGTTTTCAAGCACCAAAGGCAGTTTGTTGCCTCTACAGGGAGAGAGATGGGGCAGAACAGAGGCAGTACGACAACCTTAATAAACTAACATTTTAATGCTTTCAGAAAGTAAGGGGAAGAATTTTTTTCCCCCAATCCTGCGTTTTCCCCCCTTCCTTTTTGTCTCTGGACTCACAAAATCCTTAGAAGCACTAGAGGTGGTCCAGGAAATGGTAAGTTGAACTAAGAATTTAAATTTGGCTGCGCAGGGTACTGAACACCTTTTTCTTCATCCTTGATATTCCAATATACTTTCTGACCAAAATTCAAAGGGAAAGAGGTGGGCTTTGCTTTCATTCATCAAAAATATCAGAAAACCAAAAGTACCATTCTTAGAACTAACTTCCAACATGTGCATTTTGAGTGATTTCTGGTTGACAAACTCCTGCTTAACTTCCTGTGAATTAACACATTTCCTTCTCTAAATAAAACCTTCTTCATGGTCTTCCTGCCAAAAAACTGAATACCAAACAGGGCCGTGTAGGGGAAAGAATGAGAACTAGTTTCAGCTTGAGGGTATAACTTGTTAAGTTCAAAGGAGCTTTAGGAACAAAAATAGTGACAAAAATTAAAGTTCTCCATCTAGTGGTAGCTTTTTGTTTCTTAACTCAGAAAGTCGTTTAAGCTTTCTACAAAAAAATGCACAGGTAGGAACTGCTTTACAAGATGAATTGAGTTGGATTTATTAGTGATTTAACTTTAGGGTGGGCTAACGATAAGGTCACAGACCTGAAGTCAAGAAAACAATTTTAGCTATGTATGTACATCAAAGCTGGTTATCGTGGAAAATATTCTGCGATAGGAGAGAAAAAAAACACAAATCACCTTCTTATCCTCAGGTCTACAGACTCCCAACAGCTTTTATGACACAAGTTTTGGAGAGTGTAATAAGGAGCTCTCTAGACAGGAATTCCTCAGTGTCACTTTAATTCATCTAGAAATACACTGGGAATTTTTTTTTTGGTCCAGACCTGTGACTTCATTGGTGTAGGTATAGGGAACTAACTCACTTTACCAATGCAAATAGGCAATTGCACTGTAATTTATAGTCTTAAAGACTTATTAAGGGGCACATAGGCAATATTTATCAGAGGTGGGACTTAAATCCAGGCCTTTCTGATTCTGAGGGTCCTCTATATATATCACACAATACTAGGAAAAATGGGAAAAAACAGCACTTTTAGTTATGAATTTACAGTTTGGGGTACAAAATGCTTCTATTTTTAAAATTCAGTTTAAAATCACAAAATCATGTCAAGAAAACTGTAGCAATATGATGTTGGTGAAAATTCAATAAATATTTACTGAGCTCCTACTATATGCAAGGCACCATGGGGGATACAAAAAGGAGTAAGACACAGACTCTGCCCTGGAAAAGGAAAGCTCAAACTTGAGCTATCATTTTAGCACTCTGCTTTGGCAAAGGGCACACGTAACTAGGGATCCACCCAAACGAACTGCTGTTGAGCTGGATTCTCTTTTGGCTGTATCTATTTTGTCCATGGCCCCCAAAACAATACTGAACGTGTTTAAGCTGTTTGCCTTGGAAAGCAACATAAATGAAAAAAATGTTTCCTGACAACATCTGAATACACTAGCCTTAAGTTCCATTACATTGGGAGGATAGATAAATACATTCACATGAACTAAACTGCTGTGTATATTAACAAGCTACAAGTCTTCTGCCTATGGTCAGACATCTGAAGAGTGACCAACTGGAAGCTAAGCTAAAGTGAAGATAAATATAAAGCTAAGCAATGTGTCAAGCTGTAATTAATTACACTAAATTAATATGCTGACTCAGGAACTAGTTTTTCCTAAAGAAGTCTAGGAAAAAAAGCTCAAAGGTATTAACCTTTTGCCTTCAGAGTGGAAAAAACTGTTCTTGCTCTGGAGGTCCCTTTCCAGCTTTAAGATGCTATGATTAATGTAGTCTGTCCAAGACTGACAGGCACAGTACTCTCTTGCAGCAAATTTATCATCAAAATATATTTCAGATCCATTCTTTGGTTGGTAAAGACTGAAATGGGTCTCTCTGAAACTAAATTCTTCTTAGTATATTAACATAGCCCTACCCTTCATTAACTTCTAATTATAATCATTTCTGTTTGTTTAGATGAAAGATTATTGAAGGGGGGGAAGATGATTATATTTAATAATTTAAATCATTTTTATTTGCTTAATCTGCCATTAGGACAATCTTTACCAAAGCAATAGAATATATTAGGATATACAGTATACGGACTGATAGATAACAATACAAAAATGGTCCACTGGTCATCTACTGTTTGCTTTCTAGGGATGTAGCTAAATGGAGCTTTTAAAAAATGAGTTCTAAAGGCCTGAATGTTAGCTACAGTAACTATGCCAATTGTGGTTTCTCACACATATTTAAACTGCACACAATGCTAGCACTGATTAATATTTAACCTAGACTTAGCTTATCTTAAAATCTTTTAGGTAAAGCTACAAAAGGAGTAAAAACCGCAAGTTAAAAGACTCAGCAGGGAAACTTAATTAGGATGCAAGCATTATTATATTTTTCTAAATAGGTATAGCTACATGTATATAGATCTATACAAATATATACTGGAAAGTGTGCATTTCTGTGGCATTCTAAACTCATTTAGGTACATTTCTGACACATTGCTATGGATCAGTCTTTACAGTAACTAATGTAAGAAGAAAAACCAAGATACAGATAAAAAAAAATAATTTTTTAAATTGAAAATAAAAGAGATACTCATACATGAAGGTAATTACTGGAAACCTTCACTCAACATTCTTTTGAAAAACAGAAATATTTATACATGGTGACTTTTTACCTTCCCATTTTACAGCCGACACAGTCTGAAAACCACTTAAATTTTAGAACAAAACATGCCATGATCAATGTAAATACCCAGGAAAAAAACAGAAAGCATTATTAAAGCCTGCTGCATAACAAACACAAAAATGCTTGTTCTTACTCCCAGGTTCAACTTCCCTCTATAAGATTACAATGAAAATGAAACCATAAAATTGCTTACATTATGAAACTGGAATTTTGTTTTAAAAAAACTGCTGAGAATCATTGACATACTTAGAATAATATAACAAAGCTGGTAAATATTGAAATATGTTAAAGACTCAGAAAAGTTTTACTTAAAATAAAAATTGTCATAGAACTTTAGGTGGAAAGGGAAAGGAAGCCTGACATAGCATTTTACATAAACTTAAAAACACACACACACACACTCCCAACCTAGCATTACTTCTGGTTAACACAGAAGAAAAAAAATTAAATCATATGTATTTCCAGGGACAGGAAAAGGTACCTGACACCTGATCCACCTCACAGTCCCATTAGCCAACGCACCTCCATTAATCCATGGTGACAGGTTTTCCACATGTACACACTCCCAGTCAAACCCATCTCCTGGAATCAGGCAGAGAACCTTATACAAAAGTCAAATGAAGGATATGCAAGAAGGAAAGGCTACAAGGTGAGAACAGAAAGACTATCTATCTCAAATTCTTTTACTGAGTCCAATGCCTGACACTTAATATTTGGCACTAACTGGGTAAATAGAGGATTCATTCTATAATTCGTGAATCATTGGACAAATGTAAGTTTAACATTAGTCCAGTTTGCAAATGGCAGCTGGAAACATATCAAGCAGAAAAGCTTTTTCTATAAATTAGGAAGTTACATCAGTATCTAGTGTGAATGGAAGCAATTAAGCATGACAATCAAAAAATCTGGTGGTTTTTAAGAAACCAAACATATTAAATCATTTGGAAACCAGCAGACAATAGGCACATTTCCGCTATCACTAACCTACCATTTGACTATAAGCAAATGCCTCTCCATTGCACTGAGAATTAAGAGTACCCATGCATTTTTTAAACTTTAGAGAAGCTTGGTAAGGAGTCATTTGTTTAATGAAAAACAGCAGATTATGACCACATAAAATACGCTTATAATAATTGGAAATGTTTCATTTTTTAAAATTTTTCCACTGTTATATTCTTATTCTATGGCAATTCATTTGGTGCTGGGATCTGCCATCACCAAAAGGCATGGCACTCACTGCCAAAAGTTGAACACTAACACTGCACAAAGAGAAGCAGTAACAGCAATGTCTCCATATAACTATTTATTTAACTGGACAAAGAGCACTTCAACTAATGCTCCAAATTAAAAATGGTGCAATGAAAGCAACTTTTTTCTTTTTTTGTTATATAAACAGACAGAAAGCCACAATAACAATGGCCATGAGGTGCTGCAAATGAGGAAAAGGACTGGTGAAGCATGGGCTCAAGCAGGGGGAGCCACCTTTCAGACAGACAGCGAGACAAAGCTGTTATACTGCTGGATGTTGCGTTTGAGGATGTCTGAGCAGGGACCAAGAACACGTTCAAATCGGGGTCGGTCCAGTTTAACACATTTCAAGGGGCCACGAGCAACCACTGTGGCAGCTCGTGGACGATTCATCAAAAGTGCAATTTCACCTGGAAGGAAGAAAAGAGAAAATGAGAGCAGGCTAACATCAACCACTTTGAACATCAGCCTTTTCCTAGGCCAGGAGTTCTTAAACTGGGGTCCATGAACTTGTTCTTTAAACATTTTGATAACTACATTTCAATATATCTGATTTCCTAAGTCCTATGTATTTTACGTATTTAAAAACATTCTGAGAAAGAATCCATGATAAGAACTCCTATCCTAGGAGATTACTGCTAAACTAGGAATAGGGATGAACCTATGATTTCATTAGTCTAGGAAGCTCCCAGTGAGAACCTTCCTCTAACAATGAAGGTCAGAACCTTCTAGGCAACTTTTAGTGTTAGTTGCTCAGAATCACAGAGCTAGCATGTGTTGGAGGTGGGTCTTAAACCCAGGTCTTCCTGGCTCCAAAGCTACGTATTCATCCAGCCTCTCTGCTGATTATAGCAAGAAACAGAATAATTAGAAGGAGGAAAGGAGGTGATAAGCATCACAGTGTGCCTAAGGCACTGTGCTAAGGGTTTCTTACAATTACTATCTCATATGATCCTTGTCACAAACCTGTGACATAGATGCTATTATTATCCCCACTTTACAGTTGAGGAAACTGAGGCAAACAGAGGTTAAGTGACTTGCCCAGAGTTACATATCTAGGAAGTGTCTGCAGCCAGATTTGAACTTAGGTCTTCCTTACTCCAAGTCTAGCACTCTATCCACTGTACCACCTAGCTACTAATGAACATATTTCAATCATTTCTTAATTACAACTGAAAAAAAAAAGAAACAGAAGGCAAAGATATCCTAGTATCAGACAACTGACTTGCAGTTCTTGTTTATGTAACTTATTTACCAAAGTGGTCTAGAACAAGAACCCTCAAGTGCTGTTATGCTTTCCTGAAAGTCAAGAAAATCTATAGCAAAAGCTGCTCCTCTTGGAGGCACAAGAGAAGAAAAGCCCCAATGGAAGATTATACCTTCTCATGGAAAGGTGAAGTACAGATAGACTATGAACTAATCACATACCAAAATAATCAGAGGGCCCCAATCTTCCTACTTCAACAAATTCTTCATTCTCCGACCTACGCTGAAGCACAGCAGCTGAACCCTACAATAAAACCAGCACACTTTTATCAATATTACAACTGACAAAATCTTTTAGCCTTTTTGTGCAATTTCAGCATCTCAGCAAAATACATTCTCTGATCATTTCAAATCTACTAGTTTTTATTGTGAGAAAATCACAGTTTTTCAATTACTTAACAAGTGCCTTTACAGCCCTCTTACAGTAGCGTTACTTCCCGCAATGTATAACGGAGCCAGTGATCTAGGGGTTTCTACAAACCTGCCTTGGATCTAAGTGTTGTGTTCCTTTACTTCACAATTTCATGAATATATAAATGAAGTGTTCTAGAAAATATCCTGAAATCCATTTCTTCATTATAATGACTTGCCACTCAAACAGTGCTGATATATACACTGACACTTATAGTGTACTCATTAGTTTATTACAAAATATGTTCAGTGATAGAGCTCTGTTTAGCTAGCATGACAACAATTAATCTGGGTGGGTCTAGGAGCTTATCTCTTACTTCACAGTCTAGGGGGTGCCCTGACAGCATTTCTGTCTCAGCAGTTGAATTCATCTAAGCAACAGCTTTTAGCCAGGGTACCAAACAAAACACCCCTCAAAAGGTACTGAATACCTTTGGACAGACCAGCAGGTATCTTCACAACTTAAACTCAATGAATACCAACAGTCCAGATTTCATGTGCGTTATTTTCCTCATCTAAGTATTTGTAAAAAGTACCAAGTTTAGGTTTCTTTTCCTACCCTTGGTAAGTAACCTTTACTCACTTCTAAGATAATGAAGAACTCATCTCCTGGTTCTCCTTGCACTACAATCTTCTGCCCATCTTCAAACTGAACAGGTTCCAATGCATCAGCTACTGTGAGACGCTCCCATTTGTCCAGAGATTCTGGAAAACAAAATGAAAAAGGTTCCTTTGCATTATTTGGTGATGCTTCTCCTCTCACTGCCATGAGGGTGACATCATTCAATCACGAAGTATCCCTCAGCCCTTAGATCCTCATTTCAGGAAATTACTTGCCCTAAATTAACTTCACATACATCTAAAAGGCTTCAGTTAAAAACAGCTGTTCGATTCAGCTGTGAAAGACCATAGGACCCAAAACAACTGGTGTCATTACTAATTATTTCACATGTTCAATTCATTGTAAAACACCAGTGACATAAAATTCGATCCAAATTTTGCCAATTCCCCTATAAAGAACTGTCTGCAACAACACCCATGTGCTTCTTACTAATCTGCTTTACATTAAAATTTAATTTAGCTATTTCAGAGGTTGAAACCTCAATTAATCATCTTAAACAGCAAATGTATCATCTGAAATAAATATTGTCCTGTACTTGGGACCCTCAATAACAGACTACCATAGCATGATGAAAAGCTTCCAAATTGCAGTCAAGAATAATTATGAAACACCTAATGTCAAAAGAGGGAGAAGCCCCAAAAGCCAATTAAACTAGCTCAGTCACTACTACTTCGAAGATTATAGGTATTTTTCTGTCATTTTTCTGAGTTGTGGAAACGGTGCATTTAAAATGTCATCAGGTTTCTTCCACCACAACCTACCCTCCCTATAGTCTTTATTTCTAGCTAGTAAGTCTTGACATAACCTGCTGCTGTACTCCATCAAGCAAAAAGTCCCTGTCCCAAATTTCTCAATATTAGTCTTTGACTCAGAATCTTCCTTTCCACCCCATGCTGTGCCATCATCCATCCACTGGATTGTTTTTAAGACACATAATCTAATCATCTCTCACAACTTCATGTCGAAATCTCCCTCCAAGCCTGGTTGCAAAACTATAATGGGGGAGGAGGGCAGGGATAAATTCAAGAACAAAATGATTCCTTTCATCATATTTCTTCACAGGCTCTGTCCCTTACTGATATGATTCCTACCTTCAAGGGAAAAAACACGGGCAGCTGTTTCAGGAGGACTGTTATAAGACTTTAACTAAATCTTACTGGTAGGCACATATATCTTACTATATGCTTTTGTACTCCTTTCACATGTGTTTCTGCAAAACCAAAAGAATGAGCCATGAGTGTTCTAACAGGAAAAAAACCAATTAACAAAGCATTTTTTTGAGTTATGATTGTCCCTCATATCTAACAACTAACAGGACAGACAAGGGCAGAAAAGCAGACTGTGAACAAAATGAGAAAGGCAGCAAAATGCTCTAGAGAGCTATAGCTGGAAGTCTCTTTCTCTCCCAAGGGTGTTCTGTGATGAACATCACAGGTGACATATACTCTGTGGCATGCCTGGTATAATGGAACGGTAAGATAAAGACAGCTTCTTTCACACCTAAAAGCAAAGAGAAGTAACTGATAAATATGCCCTCAGCTGTCACGCAAAAGAAGGGAATAGGATACTGTGAAGCTAAAGGTTCACTCAAGCTATGATGTTATTGAAAATGTCATCTATACTTCATGACTCACCTTTTCTTCACCATCCAGTCTTCTCAATACCTTAAAATTGAATTGTCAATCCTCTATTCACAACTACTGTCTCAAAGGCAGTCAATGACTTCCTACTCAGGAGCTTCCCTTACATATATCCTCCTTGACTTTTTTTCAGTTTTTAACATTGTTGTGCATCCCTTCACACTATATACTCTCCCAGCTTTTCTCTCTTAGATCTCTGTTCATTCCTTCACTATTACAGATGTCCCTCAAGGAGCTGTCTGTAAACCTCTTTTTTCTTTACATTCTTTCTTTGGTAAACTCATTCACACCTGTGGTTTCAACAACTACATCCAAAATAGTCACGCAGGCAATCAATCTGCCTTGCCATGTTCTTCCTCCCTCTCTCCTCTACCCTTTTTCTCTCATTCATTTTCACTTCTCTACTGAGCTCCCTACTTTCTGCCTACCTGGATATCTCGCCAGCACCTCAAACTCATTATGTCCAAAAGCAAACTTACCTTTTCTACCACAAACACTTCTTCCAACTACTAACTTCAATATTTCTGTACTGACTTCCCACAACAATAACCTTAGAGTTATCGCTGATTCTTTGCTCTCAACTGCTTGTACCTAATCAGTTTGAAAGTTCCTTGATTTTATTTTAGAAATATATATCTAGCTTATCTTCTATTCCCAATGCTACCACCTTTAGTATATGCCTCCATTACTGCTTTCACCCATCCTGTCACAGCCTCCTAAAAAGTCCTTCTGCCTCCATGAAGATCTGTCAAAATTGATGGTTTATTCTGTTGCCAGAATAATCTTTGTTATGCATAAATTTGGTCATGATACTTGTCTGCTCAAAAATCTTCAGTAATTCCCTATCAATAACTGTGTAAAGTTCAAACTACTCTGCTCAACATTTAAGGCCTTCTATAAGGGTACCACTCTACCCCTTCCAGCATTTCACATTACTAACTCCTTACTAAGCAGTCTTCGCCCTCCAAAAATGTCCTGTGCCTTCCTACCTCTATACCTTTGCTCAGGCTGTTCCCAATGCCTGGAAGGGCCTAAGGGCCTAATGACCACATATCACTGAATTAAAGATTCAGAATTATAAAGAACTTTAGATGCCATCTAATCTAATCTTTTCCCTTCACAGATGAGGAACAGAGGCCCTGAGAGGTTAAGTGACTTGCCCAAGGTCAAAGAGGTAGTATTAAAGGTGGGATTTAAATGAAGGGTCTGGTCTCTTGATGCTAAATTCAATATGCTTTCTACTATATGGCACTATGTTCCATCTGCTGAATTCCTATCCATCTTTAGGGGAATAAGCCCATCTCAAATATCTTCCATGATTCATCTCCAGCCAAATCAACTTTGGACCTCGCATACATCTTACAATGACCAGTGTTCACGTCCCGTATCACCACTAAATTATAAGCTCCATAAAGACAGTGACCATGTCTTATCCAAATTTCAAATTTCTACCACTGCCTTACACAGTTAACACTGTGCTTAACAAATAATTACTGGTCTTTTTATGGTGGCTAAGAATTGGAAATCAAAAGGATGCCCATCAAGTGAAGAATGGCTAAACAAACTGTGGTATATGATTGTAATGGAATATTATTGTGCTATTAAGAAATGACAAGCAGGACAATTTCAGAAAAACCTGGAAAGACTTACATGAACTGATGCATAGCGAAGTGAATAGAATCAGGAGAAAATTATATATAGTAACAGTAATACTGTTCGATGAAGAATTGTGAATGACTTAAGTTATTTTCAGCAATACAATGATCAAGACAACCCCAAAGTACTAATGATGAAAAGTATATTACCTGCCTCCAGAGAAAGAACTGATAACTGTTTGAATACAGAGTATTCAATTTTTGAAAAATTCATGAAATTTTTCATTTTTTCATTTTTTTCTTTTTATTTGAGTCTTTTTGTACAAAAAGACTAATATGGAAATATTTTACATAATTGCACATGTATAACCTATATCTGATTGCTTACTATCTCAGAGAAGGGTGAAGGGAGGGAGGAAGAGAGGGAATTTGGAATTCAAAACTTTAAATAAAAATGCTAAAAAAAATTTTAAAAACATATAAATAATTGCTGGAAAGAAAACTGGTGAACTGTAAAGTCACTGATTTCTAAGTCAAGACCTCTATCAGGTGAAAACTCCACACATCACAATTATTAGCAAAGGGATGTTTATAAAGCACTTGAGATGAAAGTGCCAATGATAATTATGGCAACAGCAAAATGATTATACTCTTATACTTTATACCAAAGTATCATTAACAGTAAAATAATTTCAATATTCATGGCCCACCAACTCACCTAAAATAGAAACTTTACTAAGGAATTCTTCATACATCTTCCGCTTTCTCAATGTGCTTCCCTGCAAAAGGAAAGAGAAACTGAAATTCAATACTCAATGCTGTAAAAAAAAAAAAACAAAAATGAAGCTTCACATAGGAAAATAATTCAGTTAGTCATTTTAAAAAATGTACCGAATACTGAACAGTCTTTGCTAAGGCTTCTTGGAAACATCTAGGTAACTGCAAAGATCTCCTACACGTAGATCTATAAATGAGTGGCAGGTAACAGAAGTATCCAGATCTTAAGCTGACAACCAGACATGGCCACAAGAAATTTCCTAACACCACCACATGGTGAAATTGCAAGCAGATGAGAAATCTAGCTGATTTCTTACCATAAGGATCCTCCTATAGCTGTCTCGGTCAATGCCCCATAATTTCACATTTGTCTTTGCTTTGACAGTTGCCGCTCTAGGTGTTCCATAAATCAAGGCAAGTTCTCCAAAGCTCCCTCCTTCTCCAACACTGGTTGCCCATTCATTATTGACATAGACCTAAAAAGCCAAAAAACATGACTGAATTGTTTCTGGAGAAATATGTATAGAGACAGAACTAAAATCAGCTATCTTCAAAGGTTTGGGATTCTTTACTTTTATTTCAGGATATCAAATATACAAATGTTCAGAAATCAGAGCAAAGAAAATCACATTTAGAGCTTACACTGTTTTAGCTCTGTATTTTACTTATCTAATAAGGGCCATTTACAGGGGCAGGGAAGAAGGGCAAAGAAAATTAACCTAGAGAGGAATTCAGAACCAGTATTTAATCACAAAACAGAAATAATGAGCACCTCCACCCAATTCTCCAAAAATTCTCACCTAGCTCATCAAACTATTTAGAAAAGAGTATGAATAAATACCAGTTTTACTAACTTCTGAGACAGAAAGAATAAAATACTTTTTTCTTTGGCTATTAGCAATAGTATTTCCTATTGCTTGAAGACAATGAAATAGCATTACATTTGTGACTTAAAAATTGATCAAAATATTTTTATATCTTACATCCATCTCTCCTTGATCAATCACATAGAAGTTATCTCCTTCATCACCTAAAAGAGAAAAGACTATATTAAAACCATTTCAGACAAAAGCATATTTATGAAATACATAGAAAAAAAATTCATGAATAAGATGATAGTGTGTCAAATGGTACAGAGACCAGTCCTTTGATAAAAGTCCTTAGAAGGCACAAATTAACTCATTTTTCTTGACTTCTGCAACATGTGACACTATTGAACTCTCTCAATTCTTGGATACCCTCTCCCTTCTTGGTTTTTCTCCTACCTGTTTGATAGTTCTTCTTAAGACTCCTTTGTTGCACCATTCTTGATAACCCTTACCCTGTGTCAATATACTCCAAAACTGCATAGGGCCTCCTTCTCCTCTCCAGGCTCTCTCCTGGTGACCTCATTAGTTCCCATGAGGTCAATTAGCATCTCTACACAGATGATTCCCAGATGTATATATCTAGCTCCAGTTCCCTAGAGAGCTTCCGTCTCACATTACCCACTGCCTACTGGACATTTTAAACTAGATGTCCCAAAGGTATCTCAAATTCAATATGCTCACACCAGAGTTCATTCCCTTCCAAATCCATTATCTCTTTTTTTTAATACCCTATTGTCCATCACGGACACTGCCAGCCTTCAAATCACTCAAGATTAAAAGCTCCAAGTCATCTTCAAATTCCTTACTTTCCTTCACCCTCCACATCCAATCAGGTGTCAAGTCTTTTTGATTCTACCACTATAATATCTCTCACATTCATTCCCTTTTCTCCACTTTCATGGCCATCATTCCAGATCAGCTCCTTCCCTGGACTATCACAATAATGGTAACCAAAAAAGCTAACACCATTTTGGATAGCTTTAAGAAAGACACAGATTCCAGGAATAGTCCCCATTTACTGAACCAGTTAGACTTCACCTAGAGTACTGTGTTCAGTCCTGGCACCAAGGTTTAATCTATCTGGAGAGTGTACCATGGGGACAACTAGGATGATAAAGGCCCTTGAGTTCATTTCATATGAGAATCAGGTGAAAAGAAAGCTCAGGGTTAGGTGAGGAGATGACACCTGTCTTTAAGTATGTGAAGGGCTGTGACATGGCAGAGGGATTAGACTTGTTCTGTTTTGCCTCAAAGGACAGAACCAGGAACAATATGTGGAAATTGCAAACAGGCCAATGTAGGCTTATAAGGAAAAGCTTCCTAACAATTAGAGCTGTCCAAAAGTAAAATGTATTGCCCTGAGAGATGATGGGTTCCATCTCCTTGGAGTTCAAGAAGAGACTAGACAATCATTTGGCAATTATATTACATTAGGGGAATTCCTTTTCATATTGGCCTGGACTAAATGAGGTCCTTTCCAACTCTCAAATTCTATGCATCTATGATTCTGTTCAGCTTTTCAAATGCTTCCTAACCTGGCTCCAAATGGTATTTCTAGTTTCATTGTGCATTACTCTCCTAAAGTCCGGCCAAACCGGCCTCCTATCCATTCTTCACAAAAAACATTCCGTATTCTATGTTTATTACATATACACTCATACATGTACATGTTGTCTCCCTCTAAAAAAAAAATAAGCTCCTTGAGAAGAGTTCCATTTTTTGTTTTTGTATCTATAGCACCTAACATAATACCTGATAGAGTAACCGTGTCACTTCCTTTGATTTATGATTAACCACATCTATAAACTCTAATGGCTCCTTATTATCCATAGAATAAATACAAAGTCCTCTACTTGACATTTAAAGGTTTTCACAACCTAGCCTCAATTTACTTTTCCAGTCTTATTATACATTACTCCCCTTCATGCACTACAGTTAAGCCAAACTGGCCTTCTTTAATATTCTTCACATGACTTCTCATCTACATACATTTACACAAGATGCCCCTTAGGACAGTAAAACACTCCCTATGCCTCTTTAAAATGCCTCATTTCCCTCAAACTTTAGCTCAAGTGCGAATCTCCTACTTTAAGCTTTTCCCTCCAACTTCTAAGACCACACTGCCCTCAAAAATTGTATTTTTCTTTTATATATTTTGTGCACATACATACACAGACACATGTTGTCAACCACCAAAAAAATAGAAAAGTATAAGGTTCTTGAGAGCAGAGCCTGTTTCATTTTTGTCTTTGTATCATGGAACAGAACAGGTACTTAATAAATGTTTGTTGACTGGTTAATGAAATGGAAAAATCAGGAAAAACATGAGAAAGAAGTGGAATGGTTTAAAAAAAAAAACCTAGATTATTTTCTTCTGATTTAAAAAAAAATGTCATGGAAATGGTTCTTACCTTGTTGAATTACAGTCTCTCCAGCAATAAAGGAGGCCGGGAACATGGCATCAAAAATATCACTGCAACAGAGAGAAACACTTCTTCTTATGTTATATTTCAAAATATGCCTCTATCTAAGGATATGCAAACTTGAATAAAGAGATTAGTTATTAGATATTTTAACCTAGGCTGCCATCAAAAGGATAAAAGGTCTATCTACAAAGAATAATTATCCACAAAGAATAATTATGGCAACTCACCAAAAGAAATGACAAAATCATACCAGTCCAGGAAAAAAGACATCTCTGAGCATCACTCTCCTAAACACACCTCAGGGGAGATAATCTATTCAACAATTCAGGGGGTCTGAGAGCAGAAGTGACCCAGCTAAGAGTACCTCAGAAATGCTTTTATCACTTTATAACCAGCTTAGCCCCAGGATACCATCAATTCCTACCTTCACTGCCAAGTAGGACTAGCAGTCAGATGGATTAATTTCCCTACTGTCAAAATCAATCTCATCCCTCCATTAGTATCTCTATCCTATTCTTTATTCTTCCATTTTACCCTTTGGAACTCCATTTTTATGCTAGTAAACTGCCTTTCATGTTAAAACTGTGCTGCCCACTACAAAAATTACTTTGTATTTGCTTGTGTTTGTACATGCTGTTTTCCCCTCCAAATGCAAGTAAGCTCTTTACGGTGCCTGGATCGTAGTAGGTGTTTATTAAATGCTTGTAATTTTAAACTGAATACTAAAACCGCAAGGCAAACTAAAACCTACCTTCTCTCATTGTCATCAAGATGTGAGAACAATACGTTCTTCTCAATGGCTTTAGCTAAAGCAGCCATAGTCTTGTAATCTTTTGGAATAACCTAGGAAAAAAAATTAAAATCTAGTGTCACAACTGGTAAAACAAACACGTTATTATATACATTTTGCAATCTGAATTCCAACAATACCAAACTAACTTATGAACACTGAAATGCTACTCTTTCAAATATTTACTATGATAGTCTTCCAACAATTGTGATTCTCACAGCAAATAACAAATACTGATTAATTCATTTAACGCTCAGGCAAGGCTGGTTTCCAGTTTAAACTTAAGAAATGAAACAACCTGGCTCAGATTCTTATATAGCCAAGGACTCAGATTCTTAAGATCTGGCCCACTTGCATTAGAGATACAAATGCTTAGATTCCTTAAGAGTCTGGCCAATATGGCTGATCTTTAATAAACCTCATCTTTGCTGAAAAAAAAATAATAATAATATAAGAACAAAACAACACAAAAAGAAATGAAGCAACTTGTCTATGGAAAGTGTGTGAGAAATGTGCCTCAAGCTAGTTGATGAAGGCTACTTTCTGAAAGTTGGCAATACTAACAGTGCTGGTAGTTAGCAATCTGTGAGCAAGGAAAAATCATTTTTTTAAAAAGCAGACATGGTACTGTTCCTACAGGGAGAGTAGGATAACTGACTGAAGTACAGAGAGAAAGGAAGTTGGAAGATTTAGGAGAAAGGGTTAACAATCATGGAACATGTCAGGTGGTCTGGGTTCAAATCTTGCCTGTCATTTACTACCTGTGTCATCCTGCAAGTCACTTAACCCTTCTGGGCCTTACTGTCCCCATCTGCAAAATGAGGAGGTTGGACTAGATGACCTCTAAAGTATCTTCCAGCTTTAAATATGATTCTAATCTAACAAAAGAGAGGAGTACCTGCTTTCCTCTCCTGTAACACAATATGCTTTGGAGTAGGAAAACACTCAAACCCCAACTTCAACCAATGGCATAAAAATATTAATGGGTTATTTGTGATCTTTATTCACAGCCTGTAGAACATCTGATGACAAGATTTTATAAGAGGCTATTATAACACAGAGTATAGTGAATTTCAAGTTTCTGCTTAATCAAAGTAGGATGTCTATTTATTAACAATCATGAGATGACTATTATTTGAGCCTCAAGAACATTCCTCCAATTTTTAAGTGGGTCTCTGAACACAAGCCATTTCCCACAGATATTTATAGTATATAGAAGGCACATTACCTTTGCGGGTTCAACAAATGGTATTTCATTGGTCTTGGGACCAGTTTGGGGTGTGTGTGGGGGTGGGGGTATGTGGGTGTGTGTCTTGAGGAGTATGAGGGTATGAGATTTTCTAATTTGCTAGTCTGTTCTTATTCTCAAGGTCTGAGACAGAGTAGACTCTATCGTTTGGATGGCCTTGCACATAAACAGGAGCAGAATTACCTTTCTAACATATGATGCAGCATCTTCCTCAGTGTATACCTCCGCACTGATAGCCCCCCTTCGCCTCCGACCCTTAACCACTGGATTGGGAGGTGGAGGAGAAATTTCTTCTTCCCTTGATTCAGAATGGGCACTTGCTTTCTGCAGAGTCTGGAGCTGTTTTGCTTCCTCCTAGATGGGGAAAAAAAAAAGGAGAGATAAAGAGATATGTTCAGAGCACATGATCATCTATTGTAGAAAACTAATATTTTATTTAAATCACCCTATTTTTCCTCTATCACTAATAAAAAAGGGAAAAGAGTCAAATCCAGAGGGAAGAAAAAGGGATATTGAGAAGTTCCCTAAAAAATACTCCTAAAATTCAGCACTCTTTCTCAAATGTGATTAGGTGTTATATTTCTAGTCCAATTTCTTTTACTCAACTTTACTAATGACAATTAGGTAATTAGGCAGCATCTTTTGGGAATGGAAGTTTCTACATCAGGTGAAATTTTCAGATAACTGAAACTTACCAAAGAGGCACAAAATATTTTTTCACTTTAACAATTTTTTTAAATCAAATCAACAATCATTTAAGTAACTACTATGTGTCAGGTACTCTGCTAAGCACTGTGATAAAAAGAAAGCCAAATTATATCACACATTTCTTGCTACCTTAAACAAGGTACTGAACATAATTTAACCTTTCTTATTGATTAGCAACCACCAATATAATCATGAGTTACTCTACTGCAATTTATGAGAACAAGAGCCATTCCTCAATAGACAAATGATCAAAACGATATCTAAATAGGCAGTTTTCAAATTAAGAAATCCAAGTTATTAACTATATGAAAAAATGCTACAAATCACTAATAATTAGAGAAAAACAAATCAGAGCAACTCTGAGGTTCTACCTCACATCCATCAGACAGGCAAAGATGACAAAAAAAGAAAATTCCAAATGTTGGAGGGTCTGAAGAAAACAGGCACACTAATGCACTGTCGGTGGACTTGTTAACTGGTACAGCCACTCTTGGAAGCAATTAGAAACTGTGCCCAAATAGTTACTATACACTATATATACAAGGAACATACTCCTTGACCCACCTACATATCACTTTATACTACATGCTACCTCACCATATACCCCCATTTTGTGTCATGCACCCCTTTAGCAGTCTGAGGAAGCCCTGAACCACTTATCAAAAATATTTGATGCCTATAGTCATTAATTGAAGGAAATACTAAATTTCAATTAGAGGTCTGTGAAAATAAAGATGTAATATTTTTTCCATCCAAGTTCACAGACACTTTAAAATATATCCATACCACAGGTCTTGAGAATTTCTAATCTATAAGCATATAGTCTTACACGTGAATATAAAAAAAAAATTAACCTCTTCTCTACAAGATAGCAGAAAATATTTCAGATAGTTGTTCTGAAAAAGATCTTGAGGGTTTCAGTGAATTGAAAGCTCAAAGAATCGGCAGTGTGATGTGTCAGCCAAAAAAGCTGACACAATCTTGGACTGCATTAAGAGGGGCAGACCTTCTAGAAATAGAAAGGTAATAAGCCCAATGTACTCTATCCTGGTCAGGCTTCACCTGGAGTATCGTGCTCAGTTCTGGTACCATGGTTTAAAAAGAACACTGATAAGCTGGAAGAGTATTCATGGAAGGGCAAGCACAATGGCAAAGGACTTTGAGTCCATGTCATATGAAAACTAGTTGAAGGAAGAAGAAAAGATTTGGGGGATACAGAAATGATAACCATCTTCAAGTAGCTGAAGGACTGTCATATAGAGGAGAAATCAGATTTGTTCTATTTGGTACCAGAGGGCAGAAATGGGAGCAATTAGTGGAAGCTACAAAGAAACCAATTAGGTCTCATGTCAGGAAAAACTTCATAACAACTATGAGCTTTCCCAAGTGAAACAGACTGCCCTGAGAGAAGGTAGGTTCCCTCTCTTTGGAGGTCTTCAAGCAAAGACTGTATGATCAACCAGTTGGGTAGGTAACATTAGAGATTACTCTGGTAACTGGTTAATTACTTTGTTGTTGGACTAGATGGTCAATGAGGTTCCCTTACAAGTCACAATTTTTTTGTGATTCTGAGTTCACAGTCTACTAAAATCCTAGATCTTTTTTCAGACAAACTTAGTTCTAACCATTCCTCCCTCCACCTTGTATTTGTGAAACTAATTTTTTTCATAACCAAGTCTAAGACTTGACATTTATTTCCATAGAACATCAATCTTGTTAAATCCATCCCAGTGCTCTAACACATCAAAGAGACCTAGACCCTGTCATCCATTGTATCAGCTAACTCCTATTAGTGTTGTGTCACCTGCAAATTTGATGAGCCTAACATTTCTGCCTTCATCCAAGTCACTAATAAAAATGTTAAACCTCATACAGCCAAGCACAGATAGATGACTGGAGAACTCCTACCAAGTAAACAATGAATAACTAACAACTGCTCTTTTAGTCAAGACATCTAACCAGAGTAGAATCCATTATTATTATTGTTTAGTCCATATCTCTCTATCTTCTTGAAAAGAATATTATGAAACTTTATCAAGAGCTTTGCTAAAATCTGGATAAACTATTGCCAAAGAATTCCCCTCACCTACTAGTTTGACAATATTGTCAAAAAAAGGAAACGAGGTTAGTCTGGCATGACCTGTTCTTGATGAAACCACGCTGGCTCGCTTTGAAATCACTATCTAGATGCTTGGCAACCATCTCTTTAGTAGCCCATTCTTTAATTTTCTCAGAAATCAAGGTCAAGCTCACTGGCCTAGAGTTTGTAAACTCTTTTCTTCCCTTTTTTGAAAAACTGAGGTCACATATCCCCTTCTCCAATTGTGTGCTTCCATGTCCTGATCTTTCATACACTACTGCTGGAAGTGGGTCAGTGATTTTTGCCTGTTCTTTCAATGTCTATGGATCTAGTATCTCTAGGCCAGATGACTTAAATCATCCAAGGCAAGTAGCACTCTCTCACTATCTCTTTACCTCTCTTGGGTATCAATTCCCTGAAAGTACATTTTGTCATCTCTAGTGCAAAAGTCACTATCCTTGCAAAGAAAAAAGCAAAATAAGAACAGAGCAGCTCTGCCTTCTCCATTTTCAATTATCATCATCTCATCCACACCCAAGCGCAATCATTTCTTCAATCCTTTTTGTCTCAATATAGCTTTAAAAAAAATTTGTTTTCCTTCACTCTCCTTGCTAGCCTCTATTCATTATAAACTTTAGTACTAGTGACACTATTTGGACAGGACTGTGTCATATTCATATTCATTCTTTGTCTTAGAAAACTACTTGGGACTGGGGATTTAAGTAACTTGACTATAGTCACATAGTATGTTCCACAGGTAAGATGTGTATTCATTGTCTTGACTCCAAAGCCAGCCTTCTATCTACTACATAACACTGCTTCTCAAAGAGGATGATATTCTACCCTAATCTAGTTTTGTTGCTTTTTTTTAATTTTATGGTTTTAAAATTATTCATAGCTTATAATCAGAACTCTAACTCAAAATTTCAATGTGGTTCTTGAGCTTTTTTTTTGCTTTTTGGTGAGGCAATCGAGGTTAAGTGACTTGCCCAGGGTCACACAGCTGGTAATGTAAGTGTCAAGTGTCTGAGGCCAGATCTGAAGTCAGGTCCTCCTAACTCCAAGGCCGGAGGTCTATCCACTGCACCACTTAGCTGCCCCTTGAGCTAACTTTTCTGCCCATCCAAAGAAGCAACTGGAAAGGTTCTAGAGCAAAGGTTCTTAACCTGGGTCTGTAAACTTTTCTAATACTTAATTATATCTCAGTATATTGATTTCTCAGTAATTGATTTCCCTTTGTAATGCTAGATATTTTAAGGCATTTAAAAACATTCTGAGAGGGGACAAAGGCTTCTCCAGAATGCCAAAGGGGTTCATGATACAAAAAGGTTAAGAATCCCTCCTTCTAGAGAGATGATCTGGTCAAACGGCCCCACAACTTTAAGTCATTCAAGACTGGGATGTACATGAGATCTTGGTTGTTTCATTCATCAGTCCTTAAGAAGAAAGTGAATTTAAGGTTTATCCTTAATAGAGAAGAAAATATTTAGTATAGAAAAATTTGCTCCACATGAGTCCCAGGGCAAACATTAAAATTTCAGACAACCAAAAAACAAAAAGACAGCAGATATCCCTAAAACACTTTCTAAACAGGGAAAATAGGATTCCTTTTCTTTATACAAACGTGCAAAAGACATGACCAAAAACAAAGTGAAAACTGGGACTCCCTTGACAGACCCACCCCCTTTAGAAAGAGTAACCTAAATTCATTATATATAAAAACAAATTATACAATTACGGAATTTTTGTAATTCAGCCATGAGCTGGGCTAAATTTACAACTGTACTAATCATAAAAGAAAGGGAGCTCCTCAGTTAATTATATCTCTATAAATTACAAAACTGAATAAACAAGATTTTGTGGGAAATAATTTAAGCTGCTTAAGAAAAATTCCATTCTGGAGAACTTTTGCTACACCCATTAAATATAACCACAGAATCAGCTAATTATATACCATTTCTTAATGCAATTAGGAAGAATGTCCTTTCAGATCTTTTGTTAGCCTAGATTATTACATATGCATTTGAAAATGATAAAATAAACTGTATTTTAAAATATATTATTTTAGACTTTCCACTGACAAGACTTACCCTGCCAACTGTTACAAGTTAGTAAGACTGATTAGCAATTAAAATTTAGCAACTATTTAAATCTCATTGTTCCCTTCCCACATTTTTGTTTGTTTGTTTTTACCTTCTCCAGTCTCTCAAAGTATTCCCTAAGAAATGCCATGGGTCTCTCAGGCCGAACAGTACAGAGCTGTACAATGGAATCCTTGAGGAGTGCCTGGATATTATGCTTCTGGACATAGAGCTCACATTCCCGGAGGCTCCGCTCCTCCTCACTGCTGGCGCTGCTAGTTGCCATTGCTTTTAGCTGAAAGAAAAATGTACATATATATTTGCATAAACTATTTAGAAAGAGAAAACTGAAACGGAGCTTCTATTCTGCTCAATATCTTAATCAAATGATTCAAATATCTTAAATGTCTTATTTTAATAATCTTATGTCTTATAATATCAATTATCTTATATTATCTTTATATCTTATAACATCAAATATATTATTAAATTATAATATCAAATATCTTAATCAAATCATTCAAGGACAATGTACAATTAGGTATTTCTGACTTCAGTCCTACTCACAGTAATTGAATCCTGCCTTAGGAACTAGACTTGTTTCTTAATAGAATACTGTTTAGCTTCATTTTTTATTTTCCCATCCTCCACTCCCCCACCAGAAAGGGGGGAGGGGGGAAGAATGTAAAGATGTAGCTAAACAATATTCTTCCATTAAGAAACAAGTCCAGTTCCTAACGCAAGATTGGTTACTGCTAACATTTGGATAAATGTAAACTAAGCTATGGACCTAGAATTTTTCAGCAGCTATTAGCCAGACTGCTGAAAAGTTAATCCCATGAGACAGTTTCACTCAGTCCACCTCATCTTAATGGTATGGGATATATATAGTATATAGCAAAGAATATTACAAGGGTATGCTTCTAAACATCTATGATTTATTCCTAATGTATATTCCTATCTAGTTAAGAATTTCCTAATATATTAGATACACCAGCACTTGGCTTACTAGTTGTCATATCTTTTTTTTTTAACAAACCATAAAAGGAACAAAAGATATTAAGATCTGAAATCATCTTATTCCAGAATCTCCTGTTTGTGATATCAGTTGCTATCAATAATCCTGACTGATAATCAGACCTTCCTTGGTAACATAGTCTCATCAAAATTTCCTTATTCATAAGACCATAGATTTAAGCTGGAAAAAAAATTTTCTCAAGATATCGTAATTTAGCAGTTCTCAAATTTTTTGGTCTTAATACCCTTTTACACGCTTAAAGTATTAAGGATTCCAAAGAACTTTTGTTTTGTCAGTTAGATCCATCAACATTTACTATGTAAGAAAGGGGAAGGGAATATGCATTTATATAGCACCTACTATGTGCCAAACGGTGGTATGGGCTTTTTACAAATATTCATTTATTTGATCCTCATGAGAAATCAAAACTGATCAATTTTTAAAATATTTATTAATTCATTTTAAAATAATAAAACCATTAGATAATACTTTCATGAAAGACTGTGTTTTCCAAAACAAAACAAAAAGTATTACAGAAGAGAGGCCTTGTTTTACATATTTTTGAAAATCTATTTAATGTCTGACTTAATAGAAGACAGCTGGATTCTCCTTTCTGCTTCTGCACTTCAATCTGTTGCTCTGGTTGAAGTATGTAAAGAAAATCTGCCTTCACATTGATACATAATTGCAAAAGGGAGGAGCATTTTAAAATTTTAGTATTATTATGAAAAATGTTGTCCTTGCAGACCCCCTGAAAGGGTCTCAGGGACTCTTGGGATACACAGACCATACTTTAAGAACTAATGATACTGTTTAACCCCCCTTTTTAGAAATGAGGAAACTGAGGTCAAGAGCTAAAGTAACTTGCCCAAGGTCACACAAGTGAGAGGCAGGATTTGAACCCAAATCATCTGGTACTCTTTCCATTACACTTTGCTTTCTAAACATTTTGATTATCCTTAAAAAAAAGGTTCCAATTAAATTGGTACATTGAGTCTTATAATATATCATATGCCTTAAAGTTTTTACATTTTAAAAGGTTTATTTGAAAAGAGTTTTTGAAACAGGCTCAAATAAATTACTTTGACACAGGAATGAGATGGATAAAAATACATTTCTGTTTTAAATTGTCAGTTATATATTAACTTAAAACTTGGTCACTAAAGTTTTTTAATTAGAAATTCAACTGAGGGTAATATTGAAAATTCAATGCTTTTCCAGCAAGGTTATATTATAAGCCTCCTAAAACTAATGAGTGGAGAATGGTTTAAAATAAAGAATGTGAAAAACAGCCTGACTCTAAAGGTCTTCTGAAGCCCTACACTGTTACTTCTTTTGTTTTGACAACCTCCATGATAAAGAAGTACCCTACAAACTAGCACTCATGCCTTCTCATCATAAACATTTTTTTTAAGAAAATAACTGTAAGATCCTGGACAAGGCGAAGAAGTCTATGTGCACGATCATACAAAACAAAATCTATTCTATTTTAAAAGAAAAGAATTGTTATTGATGTGTTATTTACTATTCACAAAGATAAAACACTTAATATTATTGCTGTATATTAAAAACAAATAATAAGCACCCTAGTTAACTGGCAATGAAAAATTTGGTGACTCTGACAGTCCATAAATTCCACCAGAAACACTTTGCTGCTATAATTGATAAAACATGGTATCTTGCTACTAAAAAAAAAAAGAGGCATGTAACATCCACTTAGATTCCATTACTACCCATTTTCCAGGTCATTCAACAATGTGGAGTAAGGCTTCAATATTATTCACAAGTACTGCAGAGGTGACTCTGCATGTCAAGAAACCATGAAAACAGCAACTGCAGAGTTAAGTCAGATCTTTTACCCTTCAAAGTCTGAAACCAGTTATAACTATAATAATAACACATTAAATTATAAGTTATCAACCCTGACTCTTCCGAATCAAATCACAATAGTGGCATAATGTTTTTAAAACAATAAGATCATGGATTAGAAGGGACCTCAGAGGTGATCAAGGCCAACACCTTCATTTTTTACTAATAAAGAAACCAAGGACCCAATAATGAACCCAAAAGCCCAATAAAATACCACAATAAAAGGGAATGGAAAAAATATATATATAATCATTTGAATAGCCCTGCATAACCCAAATATGCACCATCACCTGTTTGCAGAGATTTATTTTTAAGAATCCAAAACCAAAAAAGCTCCCCCAAACAGGTTAATTATTCTAGACATTGCATTTCAAACCCTCAGCAATTAAACATTCCTGCCTTGTGATTCTCAGTCTAGAGAACTGGCTGGTGGTGCTAACAGCTTTCCTGCTTCGTTAGCCTCCATTTTGACACAGAGAAATGTCCTTACCAAGCTGATAATATTGCTGGGAAATGAAATTTTCATGTTAATACAAACTTCTTGAATCTTCCACAATAGCATAAAATTAAAGAGTTTTGGTGGTGGTTGTTTTACGGCTTGCCATGGCCACGTCGATGTGCTATTATGTGTGCCAGAAATTTCGTTTATTTAGAAATTCAGTGGCGATATTTCTTCAGTTTAAATGGTTGTCAAATACGAGATTTAACATTTTATTTTGACAAAATTTTTCTGGTTCAGAACAATGCCTATTAAGAGGAAGGCATACCAAAAGCTGAGCTCACGCCAAGATACGCAGGAGCCTGAGGGTGGAAGGGGTACAATGTTACAATAGAAGCAAATTAACGATTTTGTAGCCATTAAACAAAAGCTACATTGTAACTATTGTGGGATCTCACAATTTTTCCCACATAAAACTAACTCTGCTTTTGTTAGGTCTCCAAATTGGAATAAATTATTTCCAAAAGGAAAAATGGTGGTCCTACTTTCCTGCGGGGCAGGGGAGATAATTAGAGGCCTTCAAGAGAATCTACTCCACCACAGCAGAAGAGTCAAGACTGCAGGTTAGGCCATTTAACCATTTATCAGTTTGGGGTTTTTGGTTTGATTTGGTTTTGAAGGTCAGTAGAAAAGTGCCCTTCATTTCATTCAAGCCCAAATGGAACTCTGTAAAAGAATGGAAAGGAGAGGCCAAATCACGATCCAGTAGTAGCTGGCTGGCAACAGCAGAGGGAAAGAGAATGAAAGAGAAAGAGAAGCAGAGAGATGTGAAAACCTGGTTTAGAGGTAGGTGAGGAAGAAGAAAGAAAAATTCAGAGGGAAATACTGCTTAAAGGGGGAAAAAAGGGAAGGAAGAAGGTGCAGAAGATGACAAGGACAAACTGCGGGGGGTGGCAAAAATAAAATGCTGTTATAGGAAATTCAGGAACAAAAAAGACTTGTTTAGGATCTGGGATAGGTAATAACACTAATAGCATAGGTCTGTAACACCAATAGCAATAACAGCTAATATTTATTTCTATATCGCTTTAAGGTTTGCAAAGCGCTCTACCAAATACGATCTCACCTTAGTCTCACAACCACCCCGAAAAGTATTTTTATATGTACAGCATTTTAAAGTTCGCAGACCGCTTTCACATATTTTATTTTACTGGATCAGATTCAGATGCTCTTTTTTCAGTAACGGGGGCGGGGAGAGAATCGCAGGAATGAGAAAGGAGGGGGTTCGGGGATGGGAGGAGCAAAGGGAGGGCGCGCGCGAGCTGCAATAAGGGGTGCGATTTGTAGGCGGAGGAAACGGAAGGTGAAAGCTTCACGGATGGCTTGGGATGGCTACAGAATACCGCAGCGGGAGGCGGGGGGGGGCAGAGGGGCGGAGGGGCTGGGGGCGGGCGCGGCCCCGGAGGCCTGGCAGGGGAGGGGGAGGGGAGAGAACGGGTGGGTGCGGCCCTTCCCCAGAGCGCTCCCCGAGGCGCCATCTTGGATCCCTCCAGCCTCAACAAACGGATCGGCTCGGCAGCGAAGCGCGACCGAGGCCGGACACGCTCCACTTACCGAGGTGCTGGCAACCGCACTCTCAGTGCTCCCAGGAGTAGGCGGCTGAGAGGCGGCTTGAACCTGCTTTGCGTCGCCCCCCTCCACCTCAGCGGTTCTCAGGTGATCTCGACTGCTCAGAGACGCTCCCCCCTGCCCAGCTACCGGAAACGAACCAGCCACAACCAATCAGCGCCCGATCACTGACGTCAATGGGCCTTGGTCTGGTCAAGGTGGTTGCCCTGGGCAACCTTAAAGGAGAAACCAGCGCCCCTCCCCCCCTTTCACAGCCCCTCTCTTTCGAACCCCACCCCCCTCCCCAGGGACCCTTCTACCCGTGGCCCCTTTCTCCTCTTATCCTACTCTGTAGCCTCCCCCATTCCTCCCCTCTTCCCCTCCTCCCTTCTCTTTCGGGTCTTTCTCTCCCTCTGCCCCCTCCCCGCGACCCTCTCACCTGCTTGTCCACAATCTTTCCTCTTCTGGCTCTCCTTTCTTGCTTTCTCACTGTATTTCTCTTTTTTCTACAGTTTTCTTTCTCTCTGACTGTCTCTCCCTTTCTCTTTGTCTCGTTTTAGACGCTTTGTGTCCAGACTGTCTCTCAGGCTAGACTGCCTGTCTCGATCTCCCCTTTCCTCCCCGTCTCCTCCTTTCTCTCCCTCCGTGCGTCCGTCGGTCCGTCTATCTCTCGGTCTTCCCGAGCCCCACCTCTTCTCGTCGGGCTCCTCCTGTCGCTTCTGCTGCACCCCCTTCCTCGTCCTTCTCTTCCTCTCCTTTCCTCCGCCTCTTCTGACTAGTCTGTCTTGTCTCCCCCTTTCCTAGCCCCAGACTGCCTCACGTGGGCGGGGAGGAGGGGGTGGGGAGGCGCCTCTGCAGCTGCGCCCTCTTCTCAGCAGACCCCGTGCGGGGTGGGGCTGAAAAGGGGGGTTGGGGGGAAGATTTCGTGCTGTTACTAAGGACCGGGCGGATGCTAAAGAACTGCGGCTACTGCGGCTGCGGCTGCGGCTGGGGATGCGGCAGGGGATGCGGCAAAGCTCTGCTGCCATGGCAATTGCTGCAGTGTCTGGCAGCTGCAGTGACACGTCCTAACCTGGCCGCTCCCTGCCCGGAAGGCTCTTGGCAGCACTGCGTGATAGTCTAGGTTATTCTCTGCAAGTAAAACACCATCTACTCCAGCGCCATCATTTTTCAGAGAGGGAAAACGAGGTCCAATAAAGAAGAGGGACTGACATAGTCATAATTCCAACCCAGGGACCGTGGGAGCCGGGTTTCGAGTACAGGTGACCTGACTCCAAACTCAGTGCTCTTTCCTCTGACATCTTATCGCCTCACCTTTTTCCCTTAGCCCAGTTTCCTCCAAGTTGTCATATATTGCGTTAAAGACCTCCCAGGGCCCTGAAAGAAAACATATTTAAGCCTTGGACTCAACAAAGGAGAACTGCTTGTTCCTGTAGTAGATGAAAATCGATCATCCTGGGATCTGTGTGATTCAATTAAAGCAACCATGAAAATGCTCACGAGCTGATGAGCTGGTTATGAAGGAAATTAGAAGTCTTAAGTAAAAATCAGGCCTAATAATTTTAAAGAATAAACATACTAAGAGCTTCTAGCATATATGTTGCTCAAAAGCATATTATGTCGTTTGACTGTACCACTGAGGGAAAAGCCAAACAGTCTCCTCTTAGATGCATCATCACCAATTCTGGCAAAGGTAGAAAGAAAAGGAGAAAAAAAATCTTACCCAAAAAAAGCTATCTTCACCACTATTTCAGAATCCTATAAATTGGATTGTTTTAAAGACACATAATCTAATCATCTCTCACAACTTCATGTCAACATTTCCCTCCAAGCCTGGTTGCAAAACTATAATGATGGGGGAGGAAGGCAAGAATAAATTCAAGGATAAAATGATTCCTTTGATCATCATTTCTTCACAGGCTCTATCGTTTACTGATATGATTCCTACCTTCAAGGGAAAAATGCGGGGGGGGGGGAACAGTTGTTTCAAAAGGATTGTTTTAAGACTTTAAATCTTACTGGTAGGCATATATATCTTGCTGTATGCTTTTATACTCTTTTCACGTGTTTCTGCAGAACCAAAAGAATGAGCTATGAGTGTTCTAACAGGAAAGAGACAAAGCATTTTTTGATTTATGATTGTCCCTCATATCTGATAGCTAACAGAAGCACAGTCAAGGGCAGAAAAGCAGACTGTGAACAAAATGAAAAAGATAGCAAAATGCTAATAGAGAGTTATAGCTGGAAGTCTCTCTCTCCCAAGGGTGTTCTGTAATGAACATCACAGTTGACATTTATTCTGTGGCATGCCTGATTTAGTTGAGATGGTAGGATAAAGACAGCTTCTTTCACACAGGATTTCACACCTAAGAGCAAAGAGAGAAGGAACTGATAAATATGCCCTCAGCTGTCACGCAAAAGAAGGGAATAGGATACTGTGAAGCTAAAGGGTCACTCAAGCTACAAGGTTATGCCCTTTTTGGACTGTGTGGGCTCTGTGCCGTATTTGGTTTTGGTGCAATATTTTGAGGAGACAGCCTTAGAGGGCTAGAGAGAAAAGAAGTAGTAAGCTGGGAATATTAAACATTTTCTCCTATGTTATTTGAGTGACAGCTGCTTACTCAGTAAAGAATGAGGTTTTTATTCCTACCCATCTGCAGTATAGGCACTATTCCAACTAAGGGCAAGGACCATACTGTTTTCTCTGTCAATAGTATTAGCCTTGTTCCAAATGCCAAATCCATATTTACTGTAGAGCTGGGGGAAAAAAAAGGAAGAGAAGCTTCCTAGAGCTAAATTTGAGTGGGGTTTACTAAGACAACTGGTGATTTATTTTTTTAAGTCATGATAGCTTATAAATTGTACAGATTCCCCCTTGATAACTCCACATAGGTGAATGCCAGATTATATATGACATTTCTCAATGAATGTCCTTCTATCACAATATGTAATCATTGCCATATCGTACTTACAATGTAAGATTCCTCTACCCCCAGATGTCTACTGTTCTTAATCCAAAGCCTCTTGTCCTATTTCCTTGAATAAATCTAGTAAACATAAATGAAACTGAGAAGTAAAATTAAAATAAAATAAATAAAGCCCCTAAAAGCCTATATCTTGGGCCTCATTGTATTTAAGATTGCTTTTTCCCAAGGATAAATTCATAGACTTCCAGTGAGAACAATTAAGACAAATTCTATCCTGTTTGTGCTGCTCAGTCATGCTGAATGTTTTGCTTCTTGTGGAACCAAAAATATTCAAATTGCCCCCAATTTTGCAGATTTCAAACACAACCTTCCCTTAGGAAACATTCAAATTACTGGAAAGCCATGCTACCATGGATTGCATGTAATGGAAAGAGCACTGAATTTGGAGTTGATGGGACCTGGGTTCAAGATGGCTATACCACCATTGTGTGAGCAGCAAACTATTACACATCTGTGGGCCCTAGTTTCTTCACTAATGTGAATGAGAAGTTTGACTGGATGAAGTTTAAGGTCCCTTCTAGAATTCCCTGAATTCTATAATCTTACGATTCCTATGGGAAACAATTTTGTATCAATCAAGAAGCATTTATTAAGCTACACAGCTAGGGAGTATGATGTGAATGGTGAGCCAACAAAGCAGACAGAGAAAAAGTGGTCCAACAGGTAGAAGGAGAACTAGTAGAGAGTATGTAGTATGATGAAAGCCCATGAGAAGAGAATATCCAGGAGGAGAGGGTGGTAAACAGTGTCAAATGCAGCAGATAAATTGAGAAGGATGAATACTGAGAAAAGGCTATCAGATTTGGCAATTAAGCAAGCAGTTTCACTTGAGTGATGGAGTCAGAAGCCAGCTTGCAGAGGTTTCGGGAAAGAGAAAGAGGAGAGGAATTGAAAGCAGCAAGTGCTGGGTGATTTATCTTGAGTATTAATAAAAACTATAAATCAAGTTTCATGCAAATGGACATCAGGGTTCAAATCTCAGATGAATTCCCAATGAAGATGACAGTACATTGAGGGGCAAGCTAGATGGAGCAGTGGATAGAACACTGACCATGGAGTCAGGAGGACCTGAGTTCAAAATTGACCTCAGATACTCAGTAGCTGTGTGACCCTGGGCAAGTCGCTTAACCCTGATTGTCCCCCCTCCCAATAAAGTATATTGAAAGTCACTACACTCAATAATAGAATGGTTATAGAGCAAGACAATAGTGGGAAGATGAATCAGAGAAGGGAAAAAGTGAAAAAGGGACAAAGAGGACCACCCCATAATCCATACAGGTGACAATAAAACCTTGTATCAGAGTGTAACAGGGAAAGGATGTGAAAGATGCTGTGAAGGAGAAAAAAAATAAGATTTTTTGCAGCTGATTGGATTTGTGCATGAGGACGATGGAAGGGTTAAAGGTAACTCCAGGGCTTTTAAATCAGATTGAATAAATGGCAATTCTATTGTTGGAAATACTACTCCAAGCACGTGAAGATTTTCCCAGGTGAAATAGGCAGAAGAGAACAATTTGTTCCAATGGCCATGAAAGTAGCTGAAGCACGTAAGGCAGAACCCTTAAAGCTTGGTCAGGCATCAAAGACACTGAGGGCATCCACTGTATCTACCACATCCTGGACCATCACCAGTCATCTTGACTTTTGTTTTACAATTAGATGACTCAGGAAGAAAGAATGAGGCTGATGACTTTGTGCAACTCTGCCTACTTAAATCCAATTCACATATAAGTCAAGATATCACCTATGATGTCATTGGTCCTCTTTGAAAACAAAGGATGAACAAGTACAACAAGATAAAATGAAGAAGCAGATACTTGCAGAAATCTAACAGTCTTACTTTTGAACATGTTAAGTTGGAGATGTCAATGGGAAAGCCAAAGAAATTCTATAAGCAAGTGAAGGTACAGGTCTAGATCCTTAGAGAGAAGTCAAGCTAGAGATAGAGCTTTGGAAGTAATCTGTGCAAGTCAATAGAAGATTTGGTAAGCACCAAAAGAGATCATCAAGAAGAGGAAGAAGAGTGAGTGAAAGAAACACTGTGATCAGATAAATAAGCAGGAGAAGTGCCAAGAGAATGTGGAGTTTTTGAAACCAAGAGTGGAGAGTGTTACCGCAATCAGGGAGGCAGTGAAGCTGAAATATGTGGACAAGAGGGCTGCAGTATTCAGGAGCCCTAACAAAAGCACCATTCAGCCTTTTTTCTCACATTGAAGCTGCCTATAGGCAGTAAATAAAAGAAAGGAGAAGCCAACCCTTCTCTTTTTTTAAAATATATCGTTCCCCCAATACCAAATGTCCTGGCTGGTCTTTAGATTGGCCAGTTCTAATGAAACAACAGAGTTCTGTGTAATGACAGCAAAAAAGAGCAAAAGAAATGGGTCAGACATCTTCATGACGTAGCAGTATGGCTCAGGGCTGGGGACAGGGGGGAGGACGGAGGAGAGAGAGGGAAACATTATTGTTAGGTAGCTTTCCTTGCATGTCTGGTTTGATGTTCCCATTATTGTGGACCATGCTTCAAGCAGGCTTAAGGTTTAAAATATCATAAGCCCTTGTGGAGCACAAAACACAATTAAAACCACCTTTACTAAGAAAGGATTAAAAAGAACACAATTCCAAAGTTAAAAAGAGATAAAATACTCCCTCGATAGTTACCATAGCAACTGGAACATGAAAGTATTCCGCTGGTGGGCAGCAGCAGCTGAGGTGAAATATCAGTCTCTTCCCCAGGCTAAGCTTCTTTATGCTTCATATATGCTTCCATACTATACAGAGGTGCTATACAGAGGGGTGAGATTTGGTGGGAATGCATCAGGGTTGCGGGGGAAG